CGGGGGGGAGGATGGTGTCGGAGTGCAAGAGGCTGAGTAATAGGTGAAATCAAAACGTCTGAGCACCTTCGCGTCACGCTTTCGAGCAGAATGCTTTTAGCTCCTCAGGTCAGCGTAGTCTCGGCTGCGAACGCGGCAGCGGGGCCGTCCTGTGGCCGGGCCCCCGCCCGCCGCCGAAAAAAAACGCGAGCCGACAGTGCTTGACATTAGGGCTTTTAAACACTGGGTTTGGTCTTCAAAAACGAATTTTCATTTCCTTTCGATCATCTGAAAGGCATGATGCTTGCAGTACGGCTGCCTTTTATTCTGTTTATGAATTTGTTTTCTTTTCCATGTCTGTAGATCAGAGAAGCCCAACTGGGATTACCATGCAGAGATACAAGCTTTTAGCCACCGGCTACATGAGAATTTTTCTTTGGATCTTCTCAAGACTGCGTTTGTTAATTCTTGTTATATTGAAAGTGAAGAGGCAAGACGCCGAGAACTTGGCCTAGACAAAGAAACGGTTGCTCTTAATCTACAAGATAATAGTAAACTTGCTGAACAAGGAATGTCTTTTTCACGTTCTTACCTGACACAGTGCTTTGAAGGTGCCTACCCAGATTTACCTGCAAAGGGTGTAGAAGCACTTGTTGATTTTCTTACCAGTCAGGAACTTGTTTCTTATGTGGCTCAAAACCTGTCTGTACAGGACCTGACGCTTTGCAGAGAGTTTCCTGTCCCACCAAATGTGCTACAGAGGACATTCTTTGCTGTGATAGGAGCCTTGCTGGATAGCAGTGGGCCTGAGAAAACAAGGATCTTTGTCAGGGTAAGTCATTACTTATCATATATTTTTGTACTGACAACAATAACATCTAAGGGTCTCAGAAGTTACAGGGGAAAAAAAAATTAAATACTGTCTTGTACCTTGATGGCCAGAGATCCAGGCAGGCCGGCAGAAGTTTGACAATACTTGTAACAAGACAATTTCTGTTGGGGAGTGATGGTGGTCAGGTGGGGGGTTGTGGGTTTTTGGTGGCTTGGGTTTTTTTTCTTCAAGAAGCACAGGCTGGTCAAGTACATAAAACCATGTATTTCTGGTTTATAATGGTGATATTTTAGATATTTGCTGACACTTGTTAAGGGAAAGTGTTATAATCCATGCACTATACTATAAAATAATGAAATTATTCCATGTAAGGTCACATATATCTTAAATTTTTAAAAAACATTTTATATAAAGGAGGGGCTGAGTTCATAGGTTTTGCATGTAGGAGCGCAAACACCTCAAGATATTTCATACAAAAATGTTCAATTAAAATGCAGTGTTACAAAGTAGTTTTAGTGCCTACAGTCCTTTCAGTCGTCCTTTTCACTTATTTCTAGTTTTCCAGTGGAGAAATGTTAAACTCTTATTTCTGATTCAAGAGCATTCAGAGGTCTCTGTAAGAGCAAGTAGCAGTTAACAAGTAAGAGAGGGATCCAAAGAGGTGAAAGTCCCGTGGGTTGGCATATTCCTTTCAACCTGTTTGCAGAACCCTTCTGATGTACAGCTTCTTGCTTGGAAGCAGCACCAAGTTGCTTACCTCGTGCTCTGAGCTGTGCTTAAGTGTTGTTATAAGCCCTCTCTCGGGCTGGTGCTGCTCCTTCTTTAGGTCTGGGCGGTTGGCTTTTCCCAAGGTGCGCATCCTGTCAGTGGCTAAGTCAGAAACAAAGCTGCCGAGCATAGCAGCGCTGATTATCTGTGCTTAGCTGTGATGGGGCACTGGAGCCGTTTCATCATTCATTTCAGCAATTTATTGTCAGCTGTATTAATGCCTCTTCATACTGTATTTTTATTAGCAGATACCAGAAGCTAGAGCCTTCACCTACCTTTCTCATTAATTGTAACTTCTAAATATTTTTGTTTAGGATTTTCTTATTCCCCAACTGATTGGAAAAGACCTGTTTGAGATCTGGCAAGTTGTAAATCCTATGGGCTTACTAGTGGAAGAACTGACCAAGAGGAATATCTCTTCTCCAGAACCAAGAATTACCAGGCAGTTGGGAGTCAGCACGGTTCTGCCACTGTACTTTGTTGGGTTGTACTGGTTAGTACAATATTAATTTAAAGTGAACTGGATTTAAGATGGGGAGAGGGGAGGAGGGAAGATGGACTTTTACTTTTCTATTCATGCTCTTCGGTCAAGTTATTACAGGAAGGAACCTTCCAGTGACTTCCACAGAAGATCAGCCATTTAGGTGTTGGCAATAGCTTGCTGTAATGATGGATAAAAAGACAGTCTCTGACTAAAGGGCTTCAAAGTCTAAATCAGGCACACAGGAGAGCCTGGGTGTATGTTCTGGGTGACCTGACATAGGAACTTTGCGAATAGCGTAACTGAGTGGCTTTGGAGGGACCACAGCTGTATCCAGGGCTTAGGGAAGGGTAAAGAGACACAGACGTCAAGGGAGGTGGGATTTAAGAGAGCCTTATTTTATATTCCAGAGAAGGTTTTTAGTTTTCAAACCACGGGCACTGTAAACTGGGCAAGAGGAGTCTTGCTGAGATACAGACTGAGCAAGTCTATATCCAGACAAGACTTAGGAATGGCTAGTCGTTCCTGGTGTGCTTGTGTCGGGTGTGGTCGGTGCCTGTCCTGGTCTCTTGCCCAGGGTAACGTTGCTGCTCTGGAGCAGAACAGGACCTTCTTCCACCAAAACCCACATTATTGTTGCTTTACTAAATGAGCTGCAGATAAAGGCATGGGAAGATTGCGTTAACTTGTTCTGATTTATTGTGTTTTGGTTTATATGCCTTCTAAGATTTTTTTATCATATATAAAGGAACTTTTGATTATTTTTCTTCTGGAATCCCTGGTGTCCCTTCACGAACTGTTCCTATTCAGTGCTCAGAGATGTTGATAAAACGGAGCTGAGTACATACTTCACAACATAGAGGACTTCCCTGTGAATCTTTTTGAAGAGGTTTCAAAATGCTTTCTTACCAGGGGAGGAGAAAAGACAGAAGCATTTAACTTCTTTGTTTAAGCTACTGAAAGTAACAAATTTGCATATTTTTAACAGGGCTAACAGATTGAACACTCTAAAGAATCAGTGATATTTTAGGAATCTAAATGAACAGAGTAGTGTTATTCCAGGAAATGGATGCATTTCTGATTTGAGTTTCCGCTGCTGAATATACAGTCACTTATCTTTGCAGGAAAGACCAAAGGAAATGTTGCATTTCTGTGTATATAGAAATTACCTTTGGTATTCACAGACATGGTAGAGAAAAAAAATCTAGCAGCCCTTATTCGTGACATGCAGTAGTGCTCAGGATTTCATGATGAAAATGTTTTTAATTTTTGGGTTTTTTCCCCAAGCGATAAGAAGATTATAGCTGAAGGTCCGGGTGAAACGCTGCTTGCTGCAGAGGAAGAAGCTGCCCGTGTGGCACTGCGGAAGCTCTATGGGTATACGGAGAACAGGAGACCTTGGGATTACTCAAAACCCAAACAAGGATTGGTGACTGAAAAGGCTATCAGCAGTAACTAGATAACAAAAGATGTTTCTGGTTTAAGAATTAATGGCTTCCATGGTGAATGTAGATGTATTTAGGAAAGCAAAACTAGAGTTGTCTTTTTTGACCTTAAGTGCTTGAAATTATAAAATCAAAGATGGTATTAAAATAAAGTCTTTTACTTTTGCACAATGTTTAGTATTTGCTCATTTTCCTAAGCATAACAAAAGTATCCTTTTTCTGAATTTTTGTCTTTTGGCTGAGAAGTTTTTCCATATATCACAGGAGACTGTTTTTAGTGATGTTTAATAATGTGTGACAAAATCTCACTGTACAGAGAAAGGCTTCATAAGCACTTCCTTGGGGATTGTTTTGAGGGTATTGTTAATAAGGTGAGTTGAATTACATATGCAGTGCGGGTCTTTCGATTACATCTGGATTCGTTTGTCCTTGACCTTGTGAAAACATGAAATGTGATGTCAATGACACTGATGCTGTTGGTGGTCCAATTTAAAAAAAAAAAAAGTGCAAATGGCATTTTTGAGGTTCCACTGCTTGCATAGAAACTTTATTTGCCATACATATTGGTTTCTATTGTTGGAGTGCTCTCTGAAAGAGGGTGTATTTTTAATTTTAAAATTTGTAAAAAGAAAAATAAGGGTCATAAAGGCCTGAACCCGAAGACATTGGAGAACATTGCTTAATGCTCGGCTACTGGATAAGCTACAGCCTTCCCTTTTTTTTATTTTTTTATTTTTGGTACTTCTGTTTAGCCCAGGTACTTCATTTTTCTCCTGTCTCTTCTTTTGGCTGCTTAGTTTAAGCAGTCATGTGACTGAAGTATTGGATTCAGTGAAATCTGAGTTTGTTCTGTTTGCACCATCTGCAGCTGTTCTGATGTAACTCCAAGTAAATTGAAAGTCACTTAGGAATAACTCGGGTACCTGCATGATCTTCCTATTAAATGTCATAGAAACTCGGTACGTGTACCAGACGACAGTGGATGCGTGAGGACTGTGACTCTTGGAATTGTTTCCTTCAAAATGGAGTGAGAGTCTGTTACGAACTGGGACTGAGTCCTCAAAGGAAGAAGCTGAATGTAGGACAGTGGTTAAAGTGTTTCCTGCCTTATCCCATTGTGAGCACTGCTTTTAAAAAGGCAACAGGTAAATGTGTCTTCATTAAATGAAAAAAAAAAAAGTAACATCAGACCGCTTTGATGTTACCGTCCCTAAGAACACGCATTCATTGCCTTAGGCTCCCGGGATGGATTTACGTGATGGACACTTAGCGAAAGGTCCCAGGCTGCTGTCGTGGCTGCTGAGCAGGTCTGTGGTTCGTTCGCAGGTGGTGTGTTCCCTGCTGTGAGAATGAGATCCGACTCCAGTCCACTCACTGGAAACAGATTTATTAGTGTTTTCAAGCAAAAGAACCGGTTGTCTGCAATCCGCGTGTGTCTTCGGTATTTGGTGTGACCTGTATCTTAGGCGTGTGTAAAACGTTCATGGGGCTACACAGCAGCAAAACCTTCTGCGTTCTGGCATGCGAAATTACGTGTGAAAGCTTGAGTATAAAGAGGAGGGCAGAAAGATCAGTCTACCATATGCATAAAACTGCTTAAGTGAAAAATTCCAGCTAGGTAATCTATGCTTGCTTATATAAGCAAAGCCAACAAGGTCACTATATTCCAGGGGAATAATAGCAAAACCTGAAAAGAGGATAGAAATTGCTCATGCTATTTTTATTTTCCAGATGAGGTATTTCTCTTACCTTTACCTATTTTAAAAGGACAATAGTGAAGGTGGGGGTTTTTTACATCCAAAGTTCGATCTACCTACATTTTTCATATACATATTTATGTATTTCGACAGAGAGAAAAAAAGCAATTTTCTGGCAGTTTACCTTAAAAGAGTATTTAAGATCTGCTTACTATGGCTTCACAGTTTGGAATATGGGCGTAAGGCCTAGGAGCAGTGGATTACTGAACAGTGTGCTGGAAAAAAAGCTGAGTAATGCAAGATAAATCAATTTATTGTGTAGTACATATATGGAATGTCTGGAGCTCAAATGGAAAGGCAGTTGGGGACACAGAAAGAAAGGACTGGATTTTTACAGAGTGAGCGGAAAAGGTGTTTTAATAAGAAAACATGTCCTATTTTCAAGCTTCCAAAAGTCAGAAAAGCATTTTATATGGCATCTGCTTTAATTTCTGGTATTCAAGCATATATTTAAGGGTTTACCATGGTAGTAGTGGCATAATTTACATACTTCAGATTAATAACTTTTTTTTCCCCCCAGTAGTCACAAACAGTATCTAAGTGGCAAAAGATTGGTTAGATTTACAGAAACTGGTCTCTACAAAGTCTGGTGAAAGTGCAGCTTTTCTTCTACTAGAAACAGTGTTTGTGAAATTCCATGATAGTTTTGTTGTCTGAAAAGTACTTTGTAAGCTACTTGCATTGGTTCTGACCCAGGCGCTGCGTACAGGTGCATTTACATCTCCTGGTGGTGGTTCCTTTCTTAAATCACATTTTATTTATCTTTCTGAGAAGGCCATAGATCAACCAGCGTGTCAATAATTGACTGACAGAAAGGAATCAGGACAGTTTACTCTTGAAACCCATTGAGCAATTCACTGATTGTTACAAATACTATATTTGTAAACCCACTTAACAGTAGAAAAGGATATGTTCTTTAGCATTTATGGAATTTTGGAATCAGTTCACATCATCTCAGGAGTCAACTTTGATTATGCTTTTCTGTATGCTAAATTTTAACCTTACCTGATGCAGGCATTTCTGTTACTGTACTTGCATTTATCCTTCCTTTAACTCATTCAAACCTTATCTCGTAATCCAAGATTTTTTTGTTAAGTGAAAATTATAGTTGGTAAACCGGAACACAAATAACAGTATTTCTGCACTAACTTAAAATGCCTTGTCATGCGTGTACTAACAGCTGAGTTTTGACAAAAGTACAGTACTATATACTAACCCTTTTTTTAGCTTTCTTTTCCTTCCTGATCTTTGTATTAATTTACATGAATATGCTAATGTGCTTAGACATAGCTATAAGTCGAATTATGAAAAAAATGGACCATTAGTCGTTAATCCAGTGAAAGCAATGGCAGTTTTGCTGTTGATTTGGGTCTAGACTTGGTGTACTCCAAATGTTAAATACACTCAATGTGTGAATAGTCTTGGATTACTCTGTTTCTGTCATCTAGATCCTTTGTCTTTCTCTTGAAAGTGTTTGAAAAGTGATTTTATTTTGAGAAATAAAACTGTATTTGTCCCAGCTAAGTAATTAGGAGGAAAACTTCTTAATATGCTTTCATGCACTTTTATTAAGTTACTTCTGTTCTCAGTATGAGTTTTTGTTTTAGTGTGTTAAACCGTTCAGTAACGTGACGGAATGCTCTGTATCATCTCCTTGCTTTCAGCTGCAGCTTCTTCTGGTTACAATAACCAGATATTTTACTGAAATTTTCTCTTAAAAAAAAAAAAAAAATGTCCTGGAATAATTCTTGTGTTTACTGTTGCTGTGACTTAAAGGCAGGAGATTAAAATACAATCACTTTACAGTTATCTCTGTGTTAATTTGGAGTTTGAAATTGCCGGTGAAAAGTTAAAACTTCTTCTATTGTAATTCTTATACCAAACTCTTTTGGGTTTTATGATAAATGAAAATTTAAATAAACTGCTCCGCTGTTATGTTGCCATAAAAATCCATAAAGAATTCAAAACGTCAAAAGATTTGTTGTCATTCTTTTTTGCAGGGCAGGGGGAGGAGGATGATGCAGCACAGAAACGTTAGAAGAGCCCTACTTTTTCTTGTCCTTAACCTCACCGAGTGCCGTGGTTAAACGTTAAACAGGCTCTGAGTTGGTTTCTCCTACAACTGAGCTTTGAAGTTTAACACAGAGATGCATTTAGTGTAGAGAAGGAAACATCTAAGGACAGATTGTTTTCATCTTTTCAGATTGATTGCACTGATCTAATGGCAGTAGTCTTGTGTGTTTACCCTTGCGGCTTGTCTGAGAAACTGTTGATAAAATGGTGACCCGCTGGTCAGTAAATAGCCACTGTCGTCGTGCAGAGTTGCAGAGTGGAAGCAGAGTTGATCCGTGTGACAGAATGCGAGTGTTGACGGCTGTCAGTGATTCTGTAGATCACGGGGCATGCTGCGACGCAGCTCTTCACGGTGCACCGGAAAGCTGGGGCTGGTCTTGGGGAAAAAGGTAGCTCTAGGGAGAAAGTAAACATTATCATCGCTTTCTGTTTTTGTGTGACACGTGCCATGTTTCTGCCAGTCTGTGGCTTTGTGACTATGCTTGTGAACTTCCGGTTTTGTGTTCAAATATGTTACCTGAATTACCACAGCGCAGGTGTTGTACGACTCTTGGGGACCTCCTCGATCATCAAGACAATCCATCACCATCACAGTGATGTCATATGCGCCTGTTCCTAAACAGATTGAACTCCATTTTAGAAGAATTACATCCTTTGCTCCTATTGCTCCAGCTGGGGACAATTATAGAACCTCACTGTTCTGATATGGAAATTAAAAGTCATGCTTTACCTCTGTAAGTGTTCATTGCCGGTTGTGCTCGCTTGTTCTTATACCAGTGCTCCTCATCAGAAGTCTTGATTTTATTGACGTTGTGAGAATTTTGCATTTAATTCCAATGAGATGAAAATTTCATCGAGTTTCAGACATGCTTGAGAGTTTGCCCTCACAGGGCATCTCAACAGCTCTGCTGTCCTATGTTTTCCCTTAATTAGACTGGGCTGCTTCTATAAATCAGAGCAACATTTGTTTTTATGATAACTTGAGTAACGTATTTTAGATTAATAATTACCTGACATTTGTAGTTTAATATTCTTTGTCCTGGAGGCATGGTTTTGGTTTAAAGTACTTAATTTTGCTCCTTTATACAGGCAACCAAAATTAATCACATCAATAGGTAGGTGTGTCGATTAAAAAACGGTATTCTCAATAGTCATTCAAATGACTTGGCCCATTTTCATGTAGC